CCCCCTTAAGAAAACTGCATGTTCATATGTTTGTCTATTACTCTATTAGCTGGTTTTATTGATTAGCAGGGGTTCTGTATATATTCTGGATACTTAACCTCTATCAGATAAATGTCCATCTGTCCAGGTTCCTGAACTCTGCTTTCTATCAATTGCCCATGTATCTGCCCAATTCTTTCTGATCCCATTTCTTTCCTTCACTAATATGTAATAGGAAAGCAAAGTGGATGCTAATCATTTTTCTGTTAATGTGTTACTTGCTTCTGCCGGTTTGTACCTTGGCTTTGCATTTTGTAAGTAAATGTTTTATGTTTTTAATTATATGATGTGTACACATACATAGTTCTATATAACTCTTATGATACCTTAAATATATATTCATAGATTTAGTTGTAATGGATATAAATATAATAATCATAATAGCAATGACAATAGCACCTGCCCTAATTACTTCTTAGGACTGTTCCATTGTTATACATAAAATGTATTTTATAAACAATTACTTAGAAACTATGATACTAAATCTCTCCCAGAAAAGTCATTCACAATTCTATTTCTAAATAAGATATCTTGAAAATGACTCATTCACAAGCAATCAAAATTCTCATTTAATTAATAACCTGAAAGTTCTCAGGAATCACCTCCAACCTTAATTTATGGCACCCCAGTGGGAAATCCATTTTACCCAGGGATTCCCTATTGGAACTTATTCTATAAAAGTGTCAATTCTAATGGATTACACATCAATCCTACTGTTTCACAAGACGAGAGGGGAGCTTTAAGAGCCTAACTTTAAGAGCTTTAAGTTCCCTGCTGAAAATGTCTATTACTTTCTAGGCTGACTTGCAGAGCACACCACAAATAGACTCTTAGGACTTACTGTACAATACAAAGAATAAGACAACATTTCTGCTCTTTATTATAGTATATTTCATCATGCTCTCATATGTATTTAGTAGCATTTTATATTACATAATTTACATCTTCCTCATTTGTACAATCTTCAATAATGTTATCTAGATTAATATAATCTTAAAGTCTAGAACTGCAATGACTTCTCTACATAGCTTCAAGAAAGTCAAATTTTCCCCACGTTGTCCTCTAAAGATAACTTAGATTGGAAAAATCAGCAGTGCAGAGTGTGGTAAACAGAAGTCCTAGAACCCAAAGCCTGTGAATAGGTTACTTTACATGGCAAAGGAGACTTTCCAGATTTGATTAAGTTTAAAGACACTGAAGTAAAGATATTGGCCTGAATTATCCAGATGGCTCAATCACAGGAGTTCTTTATAAAGGAAGAAAGCAAATAACAATAATAGAAAGAAAGAAAGAAAGAGAGAGAGAGAGAGATAAAGAAAGAAAGAAAAAAAAAAAGCTTGCAGAGTGACTCAAGTAGCAGAGTGCCTGCCAAGCAAGTGTGAGGCATTGAGTTTAAACCCCAGTGCCACCAAAAATAATTATTAATTAATTAAATGGAGGGACGCATAAAAGGAGGCACATGTTTTTATGTGGACCATGAGCCAAGCAAAGTGGCAGCCTCTAGGAGCTGGAAAAGGCAAGGAAATGGACTCCCTCAAGAACCTCTAGAAAGGAATACAATCCTGCCAGCGCCTTGATTTTGCCCTAATGCGATTTGTGTTAGATTTCTGACCTACAAAACTGTAAGACAATGAATTTATGTTACTTAAGTCACTACAATTGTGTGACTAGAAAAGTAATACACAGAGACTATCTAGATCGTTTCCAGCAAAACAAACTGATTAGAAGAGGTCTAGAACCCAGCTACTGAGTTGAAATGAGTTCTGCTACTTGTCAACTGTATAAGTTTAAGTCAATTATTAACCTCTCTGTGCCTCAGTTTTCTCACCTATAAAATGGAGCTGCTAATAATACCCGTATCAGAAGACTGCTAGGACTAAATGGGTTAATTCATGTAAAGTACTTAAAGCAATACTTCAGCTGGTGGTATGACTCAGGTGGTGGAACACCCCAGTACCACAAAAGAATTCTGCATATATTAGGCAATAAACACATCTTAACCTCTAATATTATTGATTTGAGTCAATAATATTTTAACTATCTTCTTTTTCATTCACTCACAGAAAAAGCATGAGATCAAGTCTCCAAAATTGTCAAGGAAATAAACCCTTCTAAAGAAAAAGGTCTGTACATAGCCCCAAAAGTTTCAGTAATAGTCCCGTCTCCACTTAAACTGGAGTTAAGAGTTGCTCCTAATAATGCCAAAGTCGATGTGTCACCATGACTCCACTAGTGACAATTGCTAGTCCAGAACCTGACAGAAAAGCACCCATGAAAAAGTAAAAGCTGTCTTATTAAAAATAATAGATGCAGCAAAATTAGTTTCCACTTGAATTAGCCATAATTGGCATTTTTTTGCTTTCTTGATATTTATACAGCACTTTCGCTTGCAAAGCCTACCTTATCATTTTCTCATAAACAATTAAAAGTTTTATTTCACTTGGATATTGACTCAGCAACATTTACAGAAATTAATATAAACAGGCTAAGCAGTAACAGCTCACTACAGAAGTGCCAAGATGTAACAACTGGTAATTTCCACAAAAGACAGAGGTAAAATACACATCAAAAATATATTTTTATTTTACAAATCAGCACTCTTATAACAGCTCAGAACTGTATCAGAAATTCAAATGGAAAACAGCACACCACAAACAAAAAAAACTTTTTTTTAACTCCAGGAAGAGGCTTGAATACAAACCTTTGTGAAGTATCATAATAAAAATTAGTGTTTGGAAACACAAAGCCCTGAGTTCAAACCCCAGTCCCAAGAACAACAACAAAAAGCCAAAACATAGTATTTGGGTTGTTTTGTTTACTAATCAGTAGCTAAATAAACTGACAAAAGAAAATTTTATTATAAAATAATTCCTTTCCTTTACTACAGTAAAAGAAATGAACATCAATATTCTAAGCCTAAACAACCCTAAAATACTTTAATTAATGACATTTTAAAGGATAATGAAATATGCCCCAGCAACAACATATTACGAAGTTTGCAAAAGAAATCCTTCAATTAGTTACAGAAAATATATTGATTGAATCTAAATTATTTTTTGTAACTATTCTACTTTTACATTTTTTAAATTCTGTAGAACCATAGATCTAATAAGACTTGTAAGAACTAATTTTTATCTGAAAAGGTGATAACACGTTACTATTTTTTTTTAATGACATTAAGGACTTTGGCTACCATGCAAAAGCACCTGGGAAGCCTAGTACAAGATATCTGATCCTCTTCTCCCCACCCTAAAGCTGCAATGGCAGACAGAGAAACCTTTTGCTGAACTCTGCAAAAGGGTCAAGTTTCAGCGACTCCAGATTTCTTTCGCCTAAATCTTTATATCCAGAATCAGAGAAAGCCTCTGGCCCCCAACCTTATATATAGACCAAAATGGCTCTCCTTTGTCTTATTCACCAGAATGCTAAGTCACCTCAAAGAAGAAACTATTAATTTGTGTGAATATTTCCTCAAAATTACATATATGCACACAAGTATGCAGGTACATTTTGGAAGTGATGAGCCACTGGAAGGAAGATACAAAAGGAGCAAGGTCATAAGATACGAGTCACATACTCAAAAGTCCTCAGAACCGGGAATGAAATGCAATACATGAAACAACTGGGTAGAAGCTCATGGTGGGAACCACAAGGAGACAAAAAGCAAATAAACCCTTGGCCCTTAACTTATTAACCATTAAAAGAATGCTTGCAAAAGCTTGTCATAAAACACCAGATTAGGCCACAGGCCAGAATATTTACAGATTAATCAGTGCTCCTTATGACTAAACCAAGCTACAACTAATGGGGTTAAGACAGCTACACAAAACAAAAACAAGAAGGAACCGTTATGTGGCAGAGGTAGAAGGACATGGACATACCTTAAATAAGCATCTAGCTTCACTAAAGAGATCTTTGACATGATATGCTGGTTTGTTATAATAGTGCCTAATTTACTTTGCAGAAACGTGAAGGTGCTTCTGCTAAACACACTTACTTTTTACTAGAATTTACAAATACCTGATGGTGACTAAAACTGGACAAAAGGCGTGGCATCTCTGTCATCATATTGTATCTATCCCTTTTGCTGCCTCAATCTTCAATTCAGACTCTACTCAGCTCTGCATGTAGATATGTTAGTCATTTGAGAAATGTCCTGTTGAAGTCTGTAATACAGGACTAACTTGGTTACACACACAGTGGAGCTGGTGTATGCTTCTTGCACCCCACCCTTATACTTTCTCGGCAGCAAAAGCACCTAAAGTCAGCCCAGAACAAATCATAAGGCTAGGACTACATGTTCAATAATGACACCAGCAATAGAAAGGCCTCAAAAATTCCTGGGTTAAGTCATTGCCTGTTGTTAGTCTGCAAACTTCAAGGCCAGAATGCTTGCAAGCAAGAAGGAAACCATCTTTAGAAACTGTGCCCATGAACAATGGACAATAAAAAACTTTTAGCCTAGCCCAGAAAAATCAATAAAAGCCTGCTGCTTCCTTTGTTCATGTGAGTAGCCTAGTTACCTCTGGTCAGTTCTAAGTCCCTTTTGCTCTAGTCATGAAATGCCCAAAACAGAGCCTTCCCTGATTGTTCATAATACATGTCTTGGTCTCATTTGACTGTTCCCATGCCATAAGATCCTGCTGTCCAATGTCCAGAGAATCAATAGAAATTATAGCAAAAATAAAGTGCATGCTCACCAAAAAGCAATGAAATGCAAATTTTGAAAACAAACACACTTGTAATCTGCAGGCAGGCCAGGGTTAACTATCAATTTTCAACCTCAATAATGCAACAGGCTCAGCCATAATTTTATATGGCTGTGGAGGTCCCAAAGTGTTCATCACAGGTTCCAAGGAACTTATTGCACGCCCTCCAGCCCCAGCCCCACAGGCTCCCACAGGCCTTTGTGTAGGCTTTGCAGCATTCTAAGTTTAGTGGCTAAAGAATGAAAAACTTACCACTTAAGCTTCCCGCAGAATACTGAGCAGCATCAAGGAATTTGCGTGGAGTAGGGAGGTTTGTAACATCAATCAGAGGACCAGGAGAAGCATCTTTCACATGGGAGCTGAGAACAAAAGGAGCAACAATTACCACTTTCCCAAAACCAGTTCAAGTCCACTAGGTGCCAACTCTCATCACTTTCCTTTTCCTCATGAGTCCTCTACACTGTGACTTCAAACATCTCCCCAGTATATTTCCAATGAAGTGGTGCTTGTCATAGCCAGGGGCTTAAAGATGTGTAAGTATAAAGACATACAAGAATTTAAATTATTTTCTCTTTTCTAATTCAATGCTATGTTTAACACAATTAATATAAGGATACCCTGGACCATCTGGATAACCACTTTATAATGAAGTTATGCCAAGCAATCTCACTACACTCCTTTGTATTTGTAGTAAAGACTATTTTATTAGCCAAAAAAGTACAGATCACACCATGTCATAACTCAGTGACAGTTTAATAGTAACCTTCCCTTAAGCTTATGTTTTTCAAGAGTTACATATTCTGGGGGAATTCACTACTTTTAGTTTTCCTTAAAAGTTTTCCTTTCAGTTTTCATAAATCTCAATAAGTAGACAATCACTTAAAGGAATCTCAAACAGGTTTATTCAGTATTTGATTACCTTTTCCAAAAAAGTCTAACCTCTCATCTTAATGAATTACTTTAAAGTTGCCAAAATAAACACATTGATTTTTCTATGACACAAAAATTACAAATAACAATTTAATTTTCAAGGTAACTTGATTTACCTAGGTAAATCATACCTGCTAGGTATGAGAATTCAGGCAATGCTAAGGCAAATGAAACTTGTTCCCTATGCCTAAGAAACGGGATCATCTAGCCACAATGCATCCACCACAGAAGAGCCAGAAGTCAAGCCATAGTTCTTACTTCCTTCCAGTCCCAAAATACATTATCAGAAATACTAACCACCCCAGGAACTGATTTTCAAGGTGGGTCATAAAGGGAGAGTAAGCAGAGGGGGAGAAGGGAGGAAACCACACCCATGGAAGCAATTCCTCTAAGTAGGGTGGAGGGATGTACACAATGGGAATATCTGCACTTTCCCCTGTAGGAATATGTCTCCACCCCCCTCCAACTGGCTTTTTGGAATCAAAGTGCTCGGTATGTGGGTATTTTATTTTCTTTTACTTTTTTACAATGCTTAGGATCAAACCCCCTGCTAGGCAAGAGCTCTACTACTGAACTATACCCCCAGCACTGTATTTTAAAACTAATTAAAAAAAAAAACATATTCAGAAAACTGTGAAAAACAAGCTTTATTAAAAAGTGAAATTTTCACTTAAGGTAGTATCATTTTATTGAGTGTTACTAACGTGTGACCCATTATCCTAGGCCTTGAAGATAACTATGAGAGTCTCTATTTTTTCACTTATTATGTAAAAAGGGAGATCATTACTCAAACAATGCTTGAGTATCTGCTAGTGGCTGGAACTGTGCTTAGTTCAAAGTATGCAAGTATAACTAAGACATGAGCTTAACCAAACTTACCACAACTCTAACAGTTAGAATCACTCCTAGGCTAGTGTGAAACGTAAGTGAAGATGCAAAAGTAACAAAAATGGTAATTAACAGAAGTTGAATTGGCATAGTTAGCTCCATAACTATTTTCTACCAATATAAAACTTCAACTTTCTACTCACCTAAGCTTATCACAATAGTTTATGTATTCATAAAATAAATTTGATCATGGATTTATCCATTCTTTCATCTTTTATGACTACTTTTGCTTTTCTCTCTCTCTCTTGTTCTCTTGTTTTTTGAGACACAATCTCACTACTTCACCCAGATTGACCTTGAACTCACAATCCTCATGCCTCAGCCTCCAGAGTGCTAGGATTACAGGTGTGTGTCACTACACCTACCTGTCTTCTCATCTTTCTACTCTTAACTACCTCTTTTACATGCATTTTACTCGCTATTGGAAAATCCAACTCCACACACCTTCCTAGTCTCTAAAAATACAGGTCCACAGAGACAGGATAATCACTGAGGTGTGTAATGCTGCTACTGAGTAATTAAGAAAAAGTTCATTTCAACTTTAAATGAAAGGAAATTTAAATAACACATTTTATAAATATTTAAATAACAAAGTAGAGGAGTTATTGGTAAATCAGGATGAATAAAGTTATCAATTAGCAGGAAAATTCAGGCAGAGGGATAGGTAGAGTACTGCCAGACATGCTGAATAATAAAGCAGTATAGTTAGTGCCTATGTGTACATATTGATCTGTATACATGTGAGTATCTGTTAATAGTGCACATTTCTATGAACACAGATGTGAACATGACTCACTTCATACAAAAACCTACAATTTTTTTCTCACTAGTAGCCTAGAAATATATTTCAGTTCAATATAGGCTAATAAATGACTTGCCATTTCAACTTTGAAAAACATAACCTCGTGACTTTATAATCAGAGCCAGAAGGGCCCTCAAACTCCAATAAACTTTTAGAAAGTCAATTTACTGCAAAACTATTTTCATAGATTCATCTCTCTCTCTAAAATTTTCCCTTAGGCCTCAATTTTCTCCTTTGTGAACACTAACCCAAAGGCAAGTAACTCTGGAAATAATTTTTGGTTTTTGGTTTTTTGGCATGCGTGTGTGTGTGTGTGTGTGTGTGCGTGTGTGTGTGTGTGTGTGTTTTGTCATTCTGTTACGGAAGGACTTAGTTTTAAGAGTTCCAGAGAAAGGGGGAGTACTCATTCATTTTAGTGAGCACAAATATGAAGCTCAGCAGAGAGGGAGGTGCTGTGACAGAGTATCACATTTAAATAGCTTGGATCTTAGTTTTCATTTCAAAAGAGACAAAAAGATCTTTTGTCACCATATATTAAGACCTGGAATCTCTCAAAGTATTTTAAAAAATAAAAAATGGACTATTTTCTTAAGTGAATGCACTGAGCTGCTTTACTTTGAAAGAAATATTGATAGGAGTTATTTTTGTTTTAAAATACATATGATTACAAATTTTTACTTTAAATCTATTCAGATACACTCATAGTCAAGAGTTGAAAATGACAGTGACATAAACTAAATCCCCTCTAGCAAAAGATAGTCCTGTCAAAGCCACCAATTGTATATTGTGACTGATATCAGTTTTGCTATGTAGTAATAAATGGTGGAAGACAAGAAAACTATGAAACAAATTAGGCTGTATCAAAAACAAGCAACAACTACTGCCACTACACTCCAAGGACTTTCTGGCCACTAACCAGTAACCCAATAGTTAGGATCTGCTTCTAAATATGTTTGATTTCAAATTTTGAATCCATAAAAACTTTTCTGCACTTTTTTTAAAGGGCTGACAGCTTACTAAACATTTGCTTTTTAATTAGAGCATATTTCTGTTCCCGTCCTTAGTAATAAATAGGTCCAACTATGTTCAAAATTTATAGCTACAGCTTATTTAGTTCATTTCATTGTCAAATCAAAGACTAACAGAGGTGAGTTGAACTTTAAGTTGTAAATCTAGTAACTAATATATTTACCTCTGTAACCAGAACAGCTGGCACAGTACCTGTCAAAGAGCAAATGCTCATAAAAGTTGGTTAAATCAAACCCAGCTGAGAAATATCTGTCAAAGATAATATACCCTGAGTAAGAAATTTTAAGTGAATAATGAAAAGGAAATGGCTTGCATAGTAATTCTATACAGTTCTAAAATCTGGCTGAACATACAGAAAGAATAATGAATGGCTTAGAGGATATAAAAGTAAAAAAGAGTCATGGTTTCAAATGACAGATCAAGGGTGAAGTCATGGTGACAGAAAATAAAGTATAGCTTTTATTAAATTATTCATTAAAAACTTTTAAATCTAAGAATAACAAAAACAAGGAACTGAAAGATTACAGAAAGAAAACAGACATATGTAAACAGAAAAAAAATTAAAGACAAAACAGTTAGGGAGCAAATAATATAATGGAGTCCAGAACCCTCTTTACACACAAATATGGACACCAAAACCATGATTTTGAAATGGTCTCTTCCTAAGTTGGTGAATGTCTGAGGGTGTCCAAAGAAGCAAGTTCAAAACAACTACTAACCCAGGATGCAAACAATAAGTAAAAAGATTAGCAATTTTTAACAACTTAGTACTGATTTTACATTACTTTATGCAATCATAAAGGTGTAAGTTCTTTTTTGAAAATGTAAGGAAAATAAAAATAATCCATTAACATTGTTTTGGTGAAATGCCTTTAAAAATATTTCAGAAAAAAGTCTGAACATCCATTCCTATACACACATCTTCACAACCACAAACACATAGCAGAAAAGGCACATTATGCTATTTTCAACATTCTTCAGATCACCCTGTGCAGTTTTTAATCCTGATTCTTGTTCCTTCAACAGTATAACCTAAAAACTTTCCCATCTCATTAAAAAAAGTCCTCAAAATCATCAGCAATAATTGTATTATTATTATTAGAGTAATATATGCTCATGGAGCACACACAGAAGTCCTCTCCTGTTCTTCATTACTCATTTCTATTTCCCACAAGTAATGAGTGTTTTGATATTAACCTTCTAGGAATTTTCTATACACATACAAACATTTTTATATATATTATATACATATATATGTATATATATATATGTATATAATATATATACACTTTTATCTTATGTAAACTTATATAAATCATATATATCTTATACATATAAGATATAAATATATATGTACATACATATATACAAGTACATACACAAATATCTATCCATTCAATTCATACATAGTAGTATGTTTTTCGATTTGCTTCCTGGACCCAAAAGTACATCTGAGAAATCTTACCAGCACATAGAGCTCTTTCTCATTGACTTTAAGGTTCAGTATTACATTAAGTGGGTAAATCATAATTTGTTTAACTATACCCCAACTGATAAACATTAATGTTGCATGAGTTTTTTGGTTTTGTTTTCTTTCAGGGGTTGTCTTGTTTTTGAGACAAGTTCTCACTATGTAGGCCAAGCTGGTTTCCAACTTGAGATCCTCCTGCCTCAGCTAGGAATACAGTCATATACCACCAAGTCCAGCTT